CGGGACTCCAGATTCTTTTCCAGGCCCCACTACGGAGGGGGGGGGGGTCTGGGGGTGCATTTGAATGCTGAGACTCCAGAAACAGCTCTCTCCTCCTTCAGCCCTCCCACCCCAAGGACACAGGCTCCCGGGGAAGGATGGGGGTATGCGAGGTGGATATGAGATGCCCTTGCAAGGAAGGGGCCAGCCATGCCCCTACTGTGAGCAGGCGGCTCTATGGAAAAGTCTCTTTAAACAAACCTAAGGCGGTGCCAAACAATAGGGACTTCAGAGGAGAAACGGCACCAGCAGACTCTCAGCCAGAGTCGCTGTAATGAAATTAAAAATCATTAGATCGTTCACCGTTGATGTCTGCGACTTCCCAGGACGTCAAAGCAATTTGGCTAAACCTCCAGGATGAGAGGGGCTTGCAAGCAAAGATGACTTCCAGGGGCCGGGGATGGCGCGGGGCTGGCGGGACAGACTGCGTCTCTCTGTCGCCATGTCCTAGCAGTCATTATCATCACGGAACACAAGGGAAGGGAGGGGGAAGGCAGAGCGAGCGAGAGAGAGAAAATCCCTCCTTTCCCCAAAGATTAATCCCACTTGAGCGCCAAGCTTTGAAAAGAGACGGTCTCCGGCTTTATCTTGGTCACGACCTCAGAGAAGGCTTTGAAAGGAGGGGTAGGACCCTGGTGGGTTGTCCTAGATCACCTCTTCTCCATGTGGGGATGACCTGCTCGGTACAGAGCGATCCAGTCGGACCTGGGTAAGGCTGTGTGATCCTGTAGGATCTCTCTTGACAGCAAAACCAAGCAAGGATCCATTTCAGATCCATTTCTTTCTGGGAGAAAGAGCTCAGCTTCAAAGCCGAGCCGGCCACAAAGTCCATCAGACAGGGGACCCCTGCTCGGTTGTTTCAATCTCCCGTCAGACGGGGCAGCCCTGCGCGGTTGTTGCTGCCCATGGATGGGGCAGGGATGGGGGGGGGGGGGGGGGGTCCAAAACGCCGGGCTTCCTTGACCGCGGGAGAAAACTTGAAGATGAAGGGAAGTAGGGTCAAAGGCTTAAGGCTGGAGGAAAGTAGCCCAAGAAATTGAGACCTCTCAGTATCCAGCCAAGTGGTCTTCAGGGCTGTTTACGCTAGCCCCATGTTTACAACGGAGGGACATACACTCTCCTTAGTGCGAATGGCATCGGCTTATCGAGCACAGTTTGGCCATCCAGGCTAAGCAGCTGCTTCCAGTCCGCACGGCCCCCCGAGCACCCCAACCCTGGCAGCGCTAAGGCAGGCCGCGTGGTAGATCCGGGACCGCTCCAGGGCAGGCGGGATGGATGGGGCAGTCAAAACACGAATAGATGGGGTGGGGGACTTTCCACCGACACACCACGAGGCAGCCAGATCCTGCCGCTGCATTACACCAGGGAGACCGTCGGGCTCTGCGCCTTTTGAAAGGGCACAATACCCAGGCGCCCCCCCTCCCCCCTCTTTAAAGCGGTGCTATGCCAGGGGCCGGTTTCCTGCGGATTCCTCGCGCGGGGCAATGGTGGGACACGCGGGTCCCCGCTCGCCGCGGCAGAGGGAGCCGGGC